ATTTATATTTATATTTATATTTATATTTATATTTATATTTATTTATTGCTGGAAACCAGAAGTAAACAGCACTTTCCAGGAAGAAATGTCATAAATTGTGGTCACATGATCACGGGGCGTTCTAAACGGCCTTTGGCCAAGCGCCCAAAATGTGATCACGTGACCATAGGGGGGGGGGTTCCTTCCATCAGAACTTTGAATCCAGGTTGTTAGTTCTTCTGGACAACTTCACAAGTTCATAAGGGACTAAGTCATAGGTTGAGGTCTACCTTAATATATGGTTAATCAAGGTTTCAGATTTCAAGATAAAAGTGTGATTTGGAGTATATAGAATATTTCAAATGATGGAAACAATTCAAGGTGTTATTTTCCCGCCCTGTGGGTAGCTGAAGAAGGCGGCTATTTGAGCCCAGAAAATAATAATAATACATAAGCCCTTCAAATCACATTTCTTTCCTTTGAACCTGAAATGCCGTGCATCACTTTAAATTAATAATTAAATGAAGAACAAATAAGCAAGACGTCTATTTTATATCCAAGCGTGACTTTTAAATTAAACTCTGTCAATATCTTTTGGGTTTTGTTTTAAAATTTAGTTACAGTTCAATGGGATATCTAAGATGTCTTAGAAAGTCTTTGGCGCTCTGCCAGAGGAATGAAAAGTCTATACAACGTTAAGGCAGTGCTTATTGTATGGAAATCAAATGCCAGGAAAAGTTAGAGAAATAAAAGCAACTTGCATTGATTTTTTTTTTTAGTGATAGTTTTGATGGTAGCACCTGGGAATGAGATAAACACAAGTCTCAAGCTTTCCACAGCCCACAAGGTCCAAAATTAAGTATCTATGGAGAATGTTGACCTTTAGAGGAGCTCAGTGCTTGATTATTGAAGAGAGAACTATGTCATTTATGAAAATGATCCAGATAAAGCTTGAGAGTTATGCCTGTGAAAAATGCAGAATGCAAACTAGACTTCCCATGCAAACACAACAGCACCATCGCAATAACAATGGATCTTACATTTGGGGAGGGGTCTGTTTGTTCGTATTTTATTTCTTCTTTCCCATTTGCTTCGGACTGTGTCAGTTGATATGATCTGCCTTCAATGAAAGTAATATAGTCTTTATAAGAGCATAATGGGCCTGCCAGGATACCCATGAAATTACAGTTGTAACTTAAATATTCCAGTAGACTTGGCATGCGCCTGTAATTCAAAGACAAGCAACTGGTGAGATTTTACCTCTATTTTAATAACAAAAACTCTGCTACAAAATAATATTAATACCACACAGTGATTGGTTATAGACGAACTGTCTAGCTGACCGAAAACTTCATAGATAAAAAAGTCGGGATTCAAAACTAGCTGATTAGTTGTCTATAAAGGATCCTGTACTAGTCAAAAGATCAAGCAGGAATGGAAAATTTGTAGCTCTAAGATTGCTGAATTAAACAATTTAGATCAGTTTTAGTCAATGGTAGTTATGGTTCATCACTCTGGAGAGCCCACAGTTTTTCCTCCTTGGATATAATAGGCACAGTATGCTACGTGATTCATTAGGCAATCTGATGTCTCATTACTGGAGAGAACCCAGGAAGTCAGACTAATTTCTGACTAATTTCTAGTAGCACGCTACTAGAAATTTACTTCAATAATAGCAATAGCAATAGCAGTTAGACTTATATACCGCTTCATAGGGCTTCTAAGCAGTTTACAGAGTCAGCATATTGCCCCCACAGTCTGGGTTCTCATTTTACCCACCTCGGAAGGATGGAAGGCTGAGTCAACCCTGAGCCGGTGAGATTTGAACCGCCGAACTGCAGTTAGCAGTCAGCTGAAGTGGCTGCAGTACTGCATTTAACCACTGCGCCACCTCGGCTCGGCCAGGACATGGGAGTCACACTCCAACAATAAAATGCAGATTGATCTTTCTTTGGCGTTAATACGCCTTGACTTACAACCATTGGTTTAGTGACCATTTGAAGTTACAGCGGCCTGAAAAAAGTGATTTACTTGATCTTAGCCCTTAATCAGAGGTGGGTTCCTACCAGTTCGCACCTATTCGGTAGAACCGGTTCGTCAAATCTACCGAACCGGTTAGAAGAGGTTCCACNGAAATTCTTGTTTAAAATGAAATGGTGCTATGTGAAACTGCTTTTGATTAATTGCTGTTCCTTGAGAAAATTCATTTTTGTTTAATGTACAGAGATATTCAGTGCTGTGATCAGTTATTTGTTCTATAAAACGATCATATACTTCAGCTTAAAGCAATGACGCAGAAGTCCATCTAATGCCTGTAACCATCCCAAACCTTACAGTGTATGAGGAAGTGTTTACAATAGCTAACAATTGCACAATGTTTAGTGATTTATGGTTCTGAAAATTAATACAACTGGCATTTATATTTAATAGCGATTATAAAACCAGTGTTTGCACATCACTGTAAAACAACTTATCTTCATCCTTGACTAAAAAAATAATGGAAGGGGAATCACTTAATGTTTCCTGATATTATTAACTGAAGTATGCAACTTACAGAAAATAAATAGGCCGAACTAGTTTTCAGAAATGGCCAATAGTGGGTAGAAAAGAATTTGAGAGAAGGAAGAATGGGGAATGCTGGAAAGCATATATATGGACTTGAGAAGAAGTCGCAGAGCACCATGATAACCTAGAAAGGGGAATGGGGGGAAAAACCCAAAAAGAAGGGGATGAAAGGATGCTTGTTTTATTTTATTTTATTTTTTATTTTTTTTAAACTACATCTACAGAAGTAGTTATACTCTTGTCTTGTAAGGAAGCATCCAAGGCTAAATCCAGAATCTTCCGCATGGCTCTCTTAAGGGAGGTGAAAGCCGCTTTTCAGAGAGAAAATCCTAATGGAAGGGTATGTATTAAAGAAAAGCTGAGCAAAGGCTTCAGCTAAGAAAATCAAATCTATAAATACTAATTTGGAGGGGAGAAAGTCATAGGAGGCAAGTTTTTGATTTAAATACAGAGAGTACCCGATTTACAATCATAATTGAGCCTGGAATTTACACAATTTATAAGCTGCGCTGATTGTTAACTGAATCGTCATGAGACTGACCAATTTTATCATATTTCCTTATTTATGGTGGTGATTAAGCGAATCACAGTGGTCGTTCCACAAATCCACAGTCATTAAATGAACCCACTGTCTGCAGTGGCCATATATGTTTATATTTATATTTATATTTATATTTATATTTATATTTATA